TGAGCAGGAAAGTCAGTATGTTAGCAGAGCGTTTTATTAACAGGAGTCAGCTGCTAGGTCAGGCTTGGGTTTCCTCCAGGTGCTCTTCGGGGAAGATCTTTTCCCCTGGTCCTTCTCTTCTGTTCCTACAGGTTGTTCTGACCCCTCAGTAGCAGAGTTTCTTTTCCCTTCACAGTTTCTCCACTCCATGCTGTGGAGGACAAGCACCGTCTCTGGCTTCCTGCTTCTCCTCTCCGAGTGCCATACGAAGCACGCATTGTTGCAGAAGGAACTTGGATTGGTTTTGTTGGGGCTGCTCTCGTTGGGTTGCTTTGAGTTTACAACCAGTAGCCTAACCCTACTGAAAGTTGCTGAGTCTTTGCTGGGCAAATATGAAAATGCCACCTGGAGATACTAGGGCCAAGGGTTGGCGCGTGGGTGCCAAACAGGCTCTTGAATCCAAGGCCTTGATTCAGTAATCAATGGGAATTTTGCCTTTGATTTCAATCAGAGGTAGATCAGACCTGTGAAGCCCTGTGCACAGCTCAAGAGGGGGACTTTGTGAACCTCTCACCAGAGAGGACAAGCAGGCCCAGGGGTGAAGCTTGCATTGACAAAGCAGCCTCAGGGGAGATTATTTCTGCAAAGGCCAGAGCGCTCCCAAATATTTGCTCTGAAATGTTCAGCTAGAGGAAAGGTCAGCAACTGCTCATTTGCCAGTCCCTCTGGTGGAGTCACAGGCCAATCTGTGCATAGCCCAGACGCCTTCTACTCCCAGAGCCCGAGGGGACCCGGGGCGTTTTCATGACCGTACAAGATGTGGGTTCCTGGGAATGCCAGGAGAAATCAAGCATCTTATCTAGCCTGAGCTAGAAGTGACCGAACATTTTTCACATGCTGCCTGTGCAGCAAAGAAAACACAAAACGGTTCCCTCAGGGCAGCAGCTTTTACACTTCTGACAGGTGCAACATTTGTCACTGAGTTCTCCACGTGCTTGGCAGTGGGTGATTGCAAAGCTGGTATGGGGGGAGGGGACCACAACTGCCAGCTGGGCCAGTTAGAAAAGTAAAGGATCTGACAGGCTGCATTGGAGGCCTAGGGACTGGGCAGCGCCTCCGAGTGCCACGGGCCTCGGCTATGGAGCAGCATCGATGGTCCCCCACAGCGCAGCTCCCTGTGGCATGCAGCCGGAGGAAGGGTTAGCCCAGGTGATTAGCACCTGGCCTGAGCACCCAGGTTAGCTCCGTTTGGGTGTGAGCAGCCACTCTGTGAAGCTGTACCAAGTTACCATGTGCCCCTGGTGCTGTGCTCCCTCAGCTGGGGCGCTAGGACTTCTGGGGGCATCTCCCATGGGGCTTTGAGCAGCTCTGATTTTCTCAGTGAATTGTGGGAGAGCTGGTCTGTCCCTGCACACACTGGAGGACTATCATCTTCTCTGCCAGGCGGGCGAGTCCCTAGCGAGAATGCAGGCTCCCTCATCCCCAGGACGGCCAGCTACCTCAGGCTGCGAGCAGCCCGTGACACCCTCAGCTGCTCTTCAGTGGTTCCATTGCCCTTCTGGCCATTTGCTTTTGGAGCCCCTGGGGCGTGGTTCTCCCCACGCAGAGCACTGCAGACTGCCAGCCCCTCTTGCAGGTAGCTGTGCTGCTGGCTCTTCTCCCTGGATTTGCACCGGAGCAACCCACTTGGCTCCCTCTGAAGAGATTGCTTCCGGCTGCAAAGTCTTAAACAACAGCACTGGGAGAGGGAGAAATTAAGCCCTAGAGATGAGGGAGGGAGGGAAGGGCAGGGGCTGCTGGTGCTCCCAGTGCAGGAGGCCTGAGTTGGCACCACCTCTACAGACACTCGTGGGCTCCTGCCACTGGCAAAGGTACATAACACTACAAATAAAATCAGAGATCTGCAGCACCTGGGCCCAGCCTGGGTCACAGGCTGGATGTTGGTGTGGATGGACCTCGGGTCCCACCCAGTCTGCAACCTCGAGGTTCCCGAACCTGGTCCCACTTTGTGGGAAGGCTCCATTTACAAAGGGCTAATCAGCGACCAAGAGACGCTACAGACACGAGCTGCAGTGCTGGAAACAGGGACAAGCCCATCAGTAGCAGGAGCTCCCGAGGGCTCTGAGCAGCCTGGGGGCCTGTGGGATTTTATAACTATGCACAAGACCTGATTAGCCAGTTACCAGCCTGTGCTAATGCTTTAGGAATGGACCCTTCATACAAAGAACCAAAAATTCACCTGCACACGGAGTGTTTTGTTCCTCAGGAGTCGGTGCCGAGCTGCAGGCTCTTGGCTCAGGCTTGGGTCTATTCCCAGGCCCTCTCTTTGCTTTCTCATTTGGCTCCCATCCTCTCCCATCAAACATTTCCATAAAGTGCCTCCTTACTGCAGAAGGGGCTTTTCTGCTCTCCCAGGAGCTGTCCTGGTTGGGCTATGACCTGAGTGTGCTGAACATGGCCAAGTCTTCAGTGAAGAAACACAAAAATGACCCCCAGAGCCCAAGAGAACCCCATCACCAATGCACAGCGTGGGCTTTGTGGCTGCTGAGTTCTGAAACCATGGCACAAGAGGCAACACTAGAGAAGGGGGGTAAAGTTAACACTGGTAACCACAGGTAGCACGGCCTGTGGGAGTAACAGCGTTCGAGCCAGGGAGCAGAACTCCATCAAATACTAGGGTTGAAATAGGCAGTTCTCTTCCATACCAAGATCAGCTGCTTCGGACAGGCCAGCTCGTCAAGGCTAAGCTGGGCTTTAGGGGACTGGCGGAGGATTGGAGCCTGCTGGGACAGAGGCTGTGGAAAGGGGGGGGTTGGTTTGCTCCCAATCTCTGTCCCTCACTGTCTTGGGCTAATGTGTGTGTTGCTCCTCCCCTTTTGCAGGGGAGCCTCATTGTGGTAGGCAGGGAGCCCCACAGTAGGCCCTTCCCAGCTAGCAAACAGGGCCCCAAGAATGTCTCCCTTTTGGGCAGAGCCCCGATCAGCACAAACGCCACTAGGCGATTGATGAACTCTTCCCGCGCCCAGCCCCATCCCCTGGGAGCAGGCGCCTTTCCCACACGGGCTCCTGGACAATGCTCAAATGCAGTGTGTGATCAGACCTTCCTGGGTATGGCTTCATCAACAAAGAAATCCACATCAATGTAACATAGCTCATCTCAGAACTTCTCCCCAGGCATAGCTGTTCCTCCCTTAGGTTTGCTCAGCCCACCCCCTAGATCTTCCTTCACCAGCCCCTGCAAGTCTGCAGTGCCCACTTACTCCTTCTCCAGCAGGCCCTGCTGATGGGGGGAGAGAGGATTGCCTGCCTGTTCAGACCCTCACATAGCGCATGTGGCAGCATCCCTGCTGTGAGGCTGAGGCGCAAAGGGTAAGCTACTCTCAGGCGGGAGCAGCCTGTGCCCTGCAGCATGTAGGAAGTGCTCCGATCCCTCCCAGCCCCTCGGATCCATGCTGACTGGAACAGCAATGCTGCCTTGTCTCCCCAGCAGATCACAGCCCTAGAGCAGGCAGGTACTAACTCCCTAACAAACGTATCTCAAAACACAGCAGCCCAGGTGCAGGTTTCAGCATTGGTCTTCAGGGCTGCTCCAGGGAAGGAGCAGGCACCAATCTAGCTCCTGGCTGTGGTGGGGCACGGGCTTCCAGCATGGGGGGGAAGGGAGCTACTCTCTCATGGTTCCCACTGGATCAGGCATTAGGCACCTGCATCCCCAGGGCTGCTCTCACTTACGCACCAGCCAGCAGGTCAGTCCCAGCCAGCAAGGCACCAAGGTGGATTGAAGCCTCTTGCTGCCCTCTCCTCTGCTGGGTACAGCACAGGATCCAGCCCTGCCCCTTCCCTCACGGCCATGTGGTGCTTTGAAGGCCGGGCTGGCTCCCCGTCTCACGGCCTGCGCTGCGCAGACAAGTTCTCTGCCCCCGAGACGCTATTCAAAGGACAGAGGGAATGGTTAATCCATTCAGAGCTAGCCTGAGCCCCCTGCAAGGCATGAGACCCGCTCAGCTGGAAGTGAGGCCTGGCATGCATGGGGGTCCCTCATCTTCCTGCAGCACCACATGCGATACCGCAGCCAGCCTGGAGGCAGGGCTGAGAGCAGGGCGGGCCCAGCCACTTGCAGCTGGACAGCTCCCAGCCAGAGCAGCCTTGGTATCTCCCTGTGTCAAACAGCAGAGAACAGTCACTCTCCCGGGAAGCCTGGTGGGAAGGACCATTAAACCAGAGCAGCTGGGGCAGAAGGTGGTTTCCCAGCCCCTCCACTAGCAAAGCTCCCTCCCAGCCCAGCCGACTCACGGCCTGGCGCCAGTGCAGGAAGTTTGCTTTTCCAATCACCTTTCTTCAGTTTTTCACACAGACATCTTCCCTGCAGGCTGGGCCGACCAGGGAGCCAGCAGCTGGCTGTCAGTTCAACGAGGCCAGCGATGTGATCACGCTGGGGTGGGCAGGGAGGTGAACCCCCCACTCCAGGCACGGCGGGATGAACCCTGCTGCATGCGGAGACTGGGACCATGAACCCTGCTGCGCCTGCTCAAGGATCATGCCGCTCTTGGATTCCAGGGCCGAGAGCTTCTTTCCACGGCCTCTACCTCCCACAGAGCAGCAGCAGGGCTCCTGCTGGGCTGCGAAGGCTGGAGAAGGGCATTGCCGCTCCAGAGGCCCTGGGCTAGTGCAGCTCGTGTAGCGCCCAGACGGGCTGCAGGTGTCCTCTGGGAACGAGCCAGCCCGTCTGGCTCAGTTTCTCCGGAGACCCTTGCCCTTCCCGTCTCGGCACTGAGCGGCTGCAGGAGGGGCCTGCGCTGCACTCTCAAACGAGGCTCAGGGGGGTGATCTCTGCAGCATCCCTGTCACTCATGTCCAGCACGGATGGTGCAAATCCACTCCAAGGGGGACATTCAGCATTACGTCCCCCAACACACACACACGGCTTCATCACGACCACAAACGCAGACACGCCTGGAAAGGTGCCTGGTTCTCCCCAGGATTCTCCCCTCTGGAGGAGCTCCCACCCCAAGGGGACCTACCTGCACTTCCCGCGTGTGGTAGGCAATGATCAAGCCCAGCAGGATGACGGTGGACAGGCTGATAAGGCATTTCAGGGCCAGAGAAAACATGGACTCCTGTAGGACAAGGAAGGAAAAAGCATTAGGGGAGTGAGGGCCAGGAAGGGGTCACCCCATCCCCATCCCACCGAGACATATGGGAACTGGGTCCATGGGCCAGGGCAGACGGGAATGCACGGGCCTTGGAGAAAGCAGAATGCCTCCATCGTTACAGGGGAAGCTGCGGGCACATGGATCACACAGAGCAAGGCATGAGGTGGAGGCATCTGCCCACCCCACCCCTGTTCCTGAGCCTGGAACATCAGCACGTGCGCTACCTTACCCCCCCCCCCCACACACACACACACTGCAGGCAGCTTCCCAGAGACACCTGCTATCTGGCCCCTCCCCACAGCCTCAGCCATGACTGTACAGCTCCTCCAAGCGCTCCGGCGCCGCAACCCCCCTTCTCCCCATCTGGAGGTCACTCCCACTCAGTGATGGGCCACCCAACCGAGAAGAGTGGGGGCCGAGCACAGGGTGCCCCAGCTGAGCATACTAAACAACAATACCTGTGCCTTCGTGTCCCCTTCTGCCCCAGGCCCTCCAAGTGCGTCACAAGCACTAATTCATCCTGCCCCCTTTTCTCAGGGCAAACTGAGGAACAGACGGGGTGAGTGACTCACCCAGAGCCACATGGCAAGTCAGCGACAGCTGGGAAGAGAACCCAGGAGTCCTGATCCCCAGTGCCCTATTCTAGCCACTAGACAACACTGCCTCCAGGCCACGGCAAGAACCTGAGACTGACGCTCCCTGCAGTGACCACTAGATACTGCTCCTCGGAGAGCTGGCAGCCACAGGCGCTCAGCTCGTCTGCGCCCCTCGGCGCTGCGAGCGCGCCACGTTCCTTTGGGAGAGTGCACGGCACCCCAGCACCCAGGCCATCTGGCACCGTGGCAGGAGGGGTACAAGCGGCCGCCGGGGCGCAGCTGGTGAGCTGGGCTGACAGCCCAGGAGCAGGACGGGGACTCTGCAGCCAGGAGAAATGAGGCAGCCAAATCAGAGGTTCTTTGCAGATGATGCGATGGGGGCTCAGAGCTGGGACGGGCCATTGTGGACGGCCCCTCTATCTCACTGCACCAGCTTGACCCCACCCCACAAAGGTGCCCCTCGCCCTCAAACTGGCCATTGCCCCACCCCACACAGCCACCCCCGGCTGCGGATTCACTCCTAATGGAGTTCAGGCAGCTGGTGCCGACAGTGTGGCCCAGTGCCTGGGGAACAGTCAATACTGTTTATATGTGAGCACTGGATGCAGCCTCACAAGTTACTGGCCCCCAGCCGTGTGTTTTACAGCAGGAAGTCTGAGGCTGTAATGACACAATCCATCAGCATGAAGGGACACATCAAACCACCACTTCTTGGCTTGTTTTTGCTGTTGCAATTGGGAGGAAAAAAGACAGCTCCAAGGCCCCCAAGTTGAAGCCTCAGCGTATGAACGACAAGGTGTGGGAACAGAGCCTGGAGACCCTTCCCATCACATACATCCACCCAGCAGGGGCCATTGGCGGAACTGCTGGTGCACAGGACACAAAGGTTAGTGCAAAGCTGGTGCAGTGGGTAGGATGCTGGCCTGCGGTCTAGTCCTTGCTCTGCCGCAGAGGCCCTGGGTCAGTCAGTCTGTTCTGTGACTCAGTTTCCAGTCTGTAAAATGGGGACATCCCTTCCTTCCTGCACAAGGCTGTGAAGATAAAGGTGCTCGCACACGACACCACTGCAGACTGTACACCTACCAGCATGTGAATGCCCGAGCTCAGGGGTGAAAGGTGCTGACTGCATGCCCCCATGCTGGCAGGAAGGCCCGAGGAATAGGGGCCCAGTGGGCAGTGCCCCAATCCTGCTGAACGGACTGTGCCACCAAGGTTAGCAGCTTCCTGAGACCAAGGACCCAGCTGATCTCAGTCACACAAGCAACAGAATAGCAATAGTAGATCCCCTCTCGTGCCTTCCTCCAGGGATCTCAACCCTCCTGCTTCAGGGCACGAGCCAGCCTCTCACTGGGGGTCAGGAGGGAACTCCCTTGGGGGCAGATTACCACATCACTGGGGGGTACCTTGCACCTTTGAAGCAGGTGGCACAGGCCAGTGAGATGGGGACTGCCCAGCCCAACACTCCCTGTCACTAGGGTCTCAAAGCTCCACCCCCTGGTGGGAGGGAAGTACTATCGATCTCCTCTTTACAGCTGTGCCAGCACCCTACTTGGCTACAGAGCCTGACCCCAGGCAGCCCACGCAGCAGCTGCTGCACACCAGGCCCCCCATCCAGGCTAGTGACAGCAGCCACACGGCTGTATCACGGAACAGAGGCCAAGGGGACCAAGAAGACTTACAGAACAGGTCCCTCAGGGCCACCACCACAAGCCCAGCCATGCCTCTGCATGCCAGGCTATGTGAGCAGCCACTGGACCAAGGGGGCCACGTCCCTGCGCCTCAGGGGGCTCAGCAGCTGGGAGCGTGATGTTATTGGCATCGATTTGCCGTCTGGAAGAGCAGCCCTTTCTTCAACGAGGTTTTTAATCGAATGCTGTTGGATGTAATTACGTCTCCCCTCAGCTGGCCAGGGGATTCCAGCAATCTGCTGAGAGTCCGCATTAGCTCTGTAATATGGCATCCTAATGGATGGTCTAATTAGATCCTCCTGCTAATCAATGCTATGTAAATTAAACCAGCCCTTAGTTGCCCATGAGCAAAGCGGCTGCTTCCAGACCCTAGGTCTCTGCTGCCTGGCTTCCCACCCCCCCTCCAAACAGCACTCCCCCAGGGAAAGGCCAGACAGCCGCACCCCTCCCTTTCCTCGCTGTCTCACTTCCTACCCACTCCCTCCTTTTCCTCTCCATGGGGCTGAGGCAAGTGCAACCCCTGCCCTGTCTCGCCCACTCCCCCCCCCCCCCCCCTGGATGGCTGCCCTGGGGCTCTAACTGGCATCACTGCTGGGTAGTGACGGACCTGGGTCAGCTCCAGCCAACGGAGTGATGGGAAGAGCTAGGGCTTGGCGCCCCAGCGCAGCGTAGGTGTTGTTAGTAGAGGGGCTGGTTCCTCTCCCGGGGGGACAAGGGCCAGCAGCAAGCATTCAGATGATTATTGCAGCTGTCCAGTGACTCTGGCTCACCCAGCACACAAGAACCCCGGGCCATTTCAGAGCCATGCAACCTGCCCCTTCCCCCCAGCAACAGGGGAGCTGGAGTCTGGCTTTTCCCCGACTCCCCCCGGATGCTCTGAACACCTGGAGCCCTGTCTCCACCTCCCCAGCCCTTCTGCAAACCCCACACTGCAGCCAGCTGCCCCCTGAGGACCTCCTGCCACCCCCTCCGGTGTTTATGGCTCAGCAGCCCCCATATTTCACTCCAGCTGACAGAGCCAACATCCTTAAACGCTCTCAAGACAAACAAGCTTCTGGGTGACTTGCTTACAACACCGAGTTCCTCCTATTACAGCCTGACTGTCTCATCCGGCACCAGGCTCTGCTAAGCACAGGGTTGGTGCAGTCAGAGCACTCCTGCCTGGGGCTTACGGGGCAGCAGCGCTCGGAGACCCCAGCTGCAGGGTGCTCCCTACCGGCCAGGATTGCTCAGTCACAAGAAAGACTAAAGGTGGAAAACCGAGGGAACCAGCAGAACAAGAAGGAACTGTCCCAGAGCCGGGACCCCACTGGGGTCAGGAACCCCACAGACAAATACCAGCCCCTCCTTATTATCTGCATTGAGGTAGCACCTGGCGCTGCAACCAAGGTGGGGCCCTGTTGTGCCGGATGCTGCAAACACAGCAAGGCAGCCCCTGCCCAACGAGCTCCTAACAAAGGTAGGGTTAATCTCCCCATTAGCAGAGCTGGAACTGGAACTCTCAGACTTTCCCAGCAAGGTCAGCATGTGAGGAGCAGAGCTCTGTAGATCATCTAACCCCACCTGTGGGGGTCAAGCACAGGCCATCCGGCCCAGGACACCCACCCGGGGAGCCTGCTAGACCCAGCAAACCAAGCCCAGCTTTCCTGAGTTGTGAGGCATTAACCACAAGACCCTCCTTCCTCTCTCTCAAAAGTGTTGCAAAGGGGGGCAGAGCCAGGGATAAGCAGGGCAGAATCTACCCTGGGAAAGGGACCCGGGGGGTTGTCAGTAGAGCCCCAGGACAGACCCATTGCTGCAAAGGCCTCGGTAGTGGGTCTCCCTTTGCCTTCCCACGGAGCAGGTCTCTGCCAGGGCCACTGGTGCTAATGGGGCTGCTTGGCTTCTCACTGCAGCTGCCGGAAGGGAATTTCACATAAACCCAAACAGCAGAGCCAAAGGAAATCGGGGCATTTAGTGGGATTGTTCTAAGTGCCAGGAGATAAAGAGGCCCATGGGAGAGATACAGACAGGCAGAGAGCGCTGACGGATGAGCAGAGAGCAACAGCTGATGCCTCATGGAGAGTTACTCATGGAGCACCGCTCCTTTCCCAGGGAAGTTCCCGAGCTGGCTCCGTGGGCAGGCTGCGGTGGAGGGTGGAGACTCAGGCAGGGAAGCCCTTCTCCACTAACCCTGTTTGGCTGTGCTGAACTGTTGAGGAATCCCGTGGCTCATGAGCAGAGCATGTATGCAGCCACCCACCCTCGTGCAGCCAGTGCTGGGGAAAGGCACAACACACCAGCCCTGGGAGGCAAACCTCTGTTAATACATCAGCAGAACAGCCCAGGCAGCAGTGCCAACTTCCCTGGTCAGTGTGCTTCAGCCTTGCCAAGCAGGGACCGGCCCAGGTGCGAAGGGGAGTTCTGCCTCAGACACTCAGAATCCAAGGCCAGAAATGACCCTTATCCCTGCATTGCCCAAGCCAGAGAACCTCACCCAATGACTCCTGCATCCAGCCCAGAACATCTGGTTCAGATGGAGCGTGTCCGGTAGAAAGGCATGCAAACCTCCCCCTGTGACAGGGACTCCCCCACAACCCTGGACCGGCTGTTCTGGTAGTTCGTTACCCTCCTGTGAAACAACTGCACCTTATTTTTAGTCTGAATGTGTCTGGCATCAACTTCTAGCCCCGGACCCTGT